AAGTCACCTATTGGCCAATGCTGAACCTTAGTTGATCCTTCCAAACCCAATATTTGAATATATGAAGTGCTTGTCTGTACGGAACCTCGCATGGGGCACTGAATGCTCCAAATTTATGATGGGACATTTTAGTGCAAATATGCGATGTCAACGTTCATTTAAAACAAATGGATGAAATTCAACCGAATTAAAATAATAAATAATCTATCTGAGTAACCTTGCTTTTCTTCGAAAGACGAAAAAATGATTTCAGCTTTTTGCTTTTCTTCAGGCTACCAGACTTCTTTATTCCTTGATCAGAAATTTTATCTGAAGCAAAAAAAAATAAAGATAGGAATAATACGACAAACAAAAATACAAAGTACAGCAATATAAAAAATATTTGAGTATAATATAAATTTACAAAGATACCAAAGTGCTTTAATTATTACATGAAGTGAGATAAATAAAAATAAAAACTGAAGTAATTATTTGCATGCCGTTCTTTTTATCTTACAAGTTTGGGTAAATATTATTTTTTAAATAAGAAATTTTTTCATCTTTCTTAACCTTGGTCGATTATTAATCTGAGATTGAGGGCTGTTCGATAAAGTTAGTCGGTGTGACGCATGAGAATAACCAATCAAAATTATTATCGTCTTAGAACTACAAAAGTATGCTTGAAATACAGGTAGTATCTTTGATTGGCACCTAGATATCCTAGAATCGTTTTGCTCAAATATTTTTAAAATTATGCAATATTTAACAAAGCCATGACATTTTTCAAATTTTTCTTTTTTACTATCATTTTTCTTCCGATCAACACAAATTGTGATTATAAAGCAAAAAATCCGGAAAACCGGCATATTTGATTACATGTATAATCAAAACAGCATTTTCTTTAAAACAAAAATTTCAATTTGAACTTTGTTGTTATTTTATTTATTTGTGAAACTCTAGTATACTACAGATCCAAAATACTAATCCAATTTTCAAGTACACGCCTGTCAAAACATGACATATCCAAGAGGAATCCCAATAAACGTTTGCAAAATGTGGTGTAAAGTACTTAAAACCTTTTAAGTGAAGTTTTAAATGGGTTTATAAGAGGGAAACTCAAACATACGTCTTAACTATTAACAAAGGCTAAGGAGTCCAAGAGCACAATAGAGAGGAATTCCAATTGGAATTTACAAAAGCAAATATAAAAGACAATTCATAGTAAGATTATGAATGTGGATAGTAAAAAAAATAGCCCTGTGTTAAAAAATTGTTCCTAGGTCAACTCGGACATTTAGGGAATATTTTTATTTGAAATAGTTTCAATATTAAAATTTCCAAGATGGCAACACTGGGCGAAGCAAGATTAGGTATATCAGATTCTATATTTTAGTGCCTATCTTGTGAAGGAAAAAAATCAATACTAGTAAATGGTGATAAAAACTCTTGATTTCTGATCCCAAACTTTTTGTCTCCATATAATAAATTTGTATTGTAGTAAGGAAACTTATGCCAGCTCTGACTTCAATCTCTGTACTCTCCGTCCATGAGTTTTTGACTGTGATATTCTGATTATTTGTTGGACAAAATTTTGAAAAATGTAACCAAATTTGATAACAAAGGCTTTGTCATATGCATGTTTTTTTATCAAATGCATATCAGATATTTACATCAGAAATTCGACGATTACCACTTTTGAAATTGTGAAATTTTGCTCATGACTTAAAACTTTTTACACGCTTCACTTCAGGTGGGAAATACTTTGATAAATTACTGATAGTGATAACTGATAAAATCAAAGTCAATGACGAATCGAAATTAAAAAATTTTCTGCAAAGCAAGTGACCATATTGACCTGAGACTCAGACAGTGAAATCTGATTAAAAACCTCATTGCACGCATGATTATACTTACCAGGCGACGTGTCATCAGATTGTATTGACATTGTTTCTGGTTCCGGTTCTGGTTGAGGTTCATGTTGTTGTTGTATTGGTACTAACGAATCAAATGGAATTAAATTGCAATTGATTAATAATTCCACAAAAATTAATTGGATCATGTGCAGATCAGATAAATAATTATGCTCAATCAAGCACGCAACAAGTGTTTTTGGTTGATATTTTTAATGAAGCATAATTGGCCCATACTTGATCAAGCATAAATAACAAACATTAGGAGATAATATTTGAAGATAATATGTTACATACAAGTAAAACAAACAATCATGCAAAATGATTAGGAAATTTAATTCTCAAATTTAAAATCATTTATTAAAGTGCAATCTGTGGCATTAATAATGTGTTATGAACAGAAAGTAATGCTTATTTTAAATCTCAATAATATGAATAGGATATAAACATATTAGGCACATGGTACTTAGATGTCTTTTTCTCAAATTTTACAAATCATTTTTAAATCACAGAGATATTTTTAAAAAGTAGTAAAAACATGATTGAAACTTCATCCAAGATTTTATTGGAAATACCAAAAAATTCCACTCAAGATCCCATATACCGTAGTCGAAAAATATGCACTTCCGAATATTCACAAGAATAAATCTCAAATTTGTTTTTAATATTGTTCTAGCCTTAGGTGGAAAACATGACCAAACGTAGAGATAAGATAATATCCTAATTGTGATAAGATTCACAGACACAAGTACACACATATGTGATATCCATATGATTCCAAACGTTTTTAACAAATAATTAATAAACTCAAAAACATTGAATTTGAAACAAAACCAGAAAAAAATCAAAAATTACAAATTAGTACCTTCCTCGTTTGAAGTTTTTTTGTGTCGAATACACGACCGAAACATGGTTTGAAATTTGTAACAAAACTATGACCGCTTCCTGCACTTCTAGAACTTTCTGCATTTGCCAGAAACTTATTTTAAAACTAATCCTTCACACGAACTGTGTTGCAAAAACAATAACGCGTAAAAATGCACAAACCTCTTTTATCTGCAACAAATATCTCTCGAATTTTATAATCATCTAAAGAACGAGATGTATCAAGCGTCATGGTTGGTTGATCAGGGTGTCTGAGTTCGACATATTGATGCTTATCTGGTTTGAATCCCGATTTTTCTAATATTTGAGGCAATAATTTGTCCAAAGACGTGTTGGGTCTAACTCGAAGAACTTGTTTATGTGATTGCGACATTCTGATTGTCAATCTGACTGTTTGCTGCAAAAATAATATTTCATAATAGTAAAGAAGGAGTGAATTTACCATTCCAAAAACTAATAATCAATTCAGAAAATTCATTTTCAATGAAGAATATGTGAACTTAATGTATTCAAGGAATTTGTATTTCGTAACACACTTAAAATGATCATTGATTCAATAGTTCTTTATTTTTTTTTAATAATTTTCATAACATAAAAGCCTTCTCGGTCACATGTTGAGTCTCGAATAGCACTTCTCTAAATTATTCCTAGTATTAAGAATTTCAATTATTAAATATAATTAATTCCAAATCGATTCAAATATCCGATTCATTTTGTACCTCCCTATCGGTAACCAATTCTGAAATGGCTAACTTTGGTATGTTTCCAGCCAGTGTTCCTGATTTTTTTTTATGTCACCATAGGGACAAAAGACATTTTGAAACAATTGAATAAACTGGATTCCAGTTAAATAGGCATAAAAATATTTCAACATGCCCAATAATCAATGGTGATCGTCGTATCGTGTCAGAATATACCTATCATAACTACAATTCATCAGAATCACCATTTTTGAAAAAAAAATTGTTCCTTAGAAAACAAGAGAGCTATGCTCAAATAAATGGACATGTCACAAGGTGTCACTATTTTTTATTCTGACACATAAAAAACGAATCTCTTGAAGTCCACAGAAATTTTTGAGATAGGTAAAAGTAATAGCCTTCTGGCAAAAATATCATTCTTTAACCACTGAAAATTTCAAAGCAATTGGTCCAGTATTCGAAGAGAAAAGCGATTTCATCATGACGAAGGAGAAGAATAACAAGAACAACAACATAATATTGAAACGATCGTTATGTACACTGACGTGTCCAATAAGCAGAATCTAACCTCTACTACTTTAGGTGGTGCAATTTTCACTGGCTCTTTAGCTTTCGTTTTGAGAGCAACAGCTTTTGCATTAATTGATACAACTGTACTTGATTGTGTGAAAGGTATTGCTCTTCCATCTAATTCAATCGGTTCAAGTTTATAAGAACTTGGAGAAAGTTTATATTTAGCACACAGTTGCATTCGCAGATCCATCAAAGGTATTCTGTAAAAACAAATATTAAAAAAATATCACTTGAGTGGATGTAACAAATTGCTTAATTATAATCTAAATATTAAGCAAAAAAAGTCTAGGAATTTTATTCACATGGATGAAATAATAACATGTATGAAATTTTCTACATGGATATGAGAAACTTCTGTTTGGAGCCAAATCGAAAGACTAAAATTCAGTGGTTCTCAAACTTTTTGAGCCGTGCCCCCGTTCTTAGAATTTGTCAAGTCTCGCTCCCCATTTGAAAATAACTACGGTAGTTAACAATACGCTACATAACAGATAGTAAGGCGAAAGTATGTTTTGTTCAAAAAATATGTTAAAATATGTGGATGGAAGTGGAACGTGAATATCAAAAATTAGGCAGGCGAGATCGAGTCACCATCTTGTGGGGCTGGCTTCACCATTTGAGAAACACTGGTATAGAGCCTTGTTTAGAGAGAATAACCTAATAAATGAGTTCTTTATTGGTGAACAATGATGATCTTGAAATGGAAATTGAAAAACTTTTCAACTCACAATCCAGGTACTTCAATTTCATCTTCAGTTTGATCTGGCATGACCACTTTTAAAATTATATTTTCATTCATGTTTAGATCTTCTCCATGACCATTTTCCTTCTTTAGTATTCTTTTAAAACAATAAGCAGGTAAATTAATTAATAATTGAAGCATATATAAAAAAGCGCAGAACAAAAATGAGATGAATAATATTTACTTTTCATTTTCTTTGTTTTTTCCAGCGGGAGTACTTTGAACTCCAGGGACCGGAGGTCTTGGAGCTGCTCTCTTTTTGCTGAGGCTTTTTGAAAAAACACACAATGATTAGAGATGAAGATAACTTGAAAATAAAAATTGAAAATTAAAAAAAAATCTATGAAATCTTCGATTAATATAGGTACCTTAATCATAACAGGGGACATACAAATTTATACAAAATACATTTATCGTGAATATGGTTGGTGGCAACCACAACCAGTCGAAAGTCAATGGAGAAGTGAACCATCCTGATAAGTAGCACAGCAATTTTGTATGTGATTATGGACAAAGATATTAAACTATGCTTCCAATTTAATTTGCCAATATCTCATCCAAAGTATACCAAGAAAAGCTACCCCAATCAAAACTTGCTATTAAAATATCACTTTATCTAAAACTATGTTTTGACTTTTGATAACCGTATTTTATAGCAAAATTATACTATAACAATGATAAAATACAATTCACAATGATATATAAATTAGTAGCAAGTTCCAATACAATAAGAGAAAACAATGAATGAGATAATCACCTCATTATGCAGTTTCCGTTTGTGTTTCTTCTTCAGTTTCCCTTTATCCAGTTGTGATAACCACAGTACTAACTAGGCTAAGGGAACCAAGTTCATTCTTAAACCAATACTACTCTAGCCTAGTAAATATATGCTGTAAAATAATAAATCATGAATTAGTTATACAAAATAAAAAACTCATACCTGTGGGTCCATACAGGGTCAATGGAGAAATACTGTGTGACCCCCAAAAAATCGAACTTCTATTTGTGTATGAATGTACCCAAGTTTCAGAAATCTAGAACAAAAATATGTTCTCTCTAGAATATGTTCCAAACGACTTAAAATCTGTTTTTTGACCACAAGAAACTATGGAACTTTTAATATTAGCTGTTATTGTTAGTGCTACACAAAAACGAAATTGACCAGATAAAAAAGTTTTATATACCGGTAGCATCATCTAATGAAGCGAACATTATGTCCGGATTTGTTATCATAGAATATAGATTATCCAGTTTGCTAATGGAATTAACTATGTTTAACTATCAACTATGTAACGAGAATATCGGTCAGAGACCGAAGACTTATCGATCGAAAGTTAGGGGATCCCCCAAAACAGCGCTCTTACTCCATAGTGACACCTTGTGTCCGTTCACTAATTAATTAATAACTCGCTAATTATACGACATACATCATCCAAAATCAATAGCCTAGGCTTCTGGTACGACATATGATGAATGCACATGCACATCTGGAGCAGATTCAATCTCGCTTTCGTGAGACATCGCGTGAATCTAACAGACAAACAAACAGACAAATACCTATCCCTATCAACATAATTAGCGATTAAAATCGATAAGTAATGAGCTACACTTACATATTATATTGCATTTGATAATGAGATAAGTAAAAATGCTATAGATTTATTAGGCAGTTAATTAAAATAGAAACACTTAAACTGTCTGATTATTTATTCTTATTTCAAACATAATAAATCAATTCACAACTAAGTGAAACAGCAATAAAAAATTGAAACTGCCGGATGACAATAAATAATTTTATCAATTCTCCACTTCTTATAATTTGAAGACCAACTTTACGAGGACTTATCGCAAACAATAAAACAAAAAATTTTGGCACAATCTCTTTTTTCAAAATATTTTGATATGACGTCATTCTTCTTTCAACGAAAGGCTTTCTATTGTAATGTAACAATTTTAACGGTAAATACAATGCACACAAAAGGTGTAGAATGTTGAGAATTTTAACAATATCTATTATACAAAGGGAAAGAATAATACCAAAGATGTCACAAACAAATAAAGGAATCATAACTAAAAATGCTAAAATATTTAGATTACAATGCATGAATTATTAATGTCCATTGTTGACTAGGGTCTAGGACTGTAACCAGTTCCTTTCAATATAGCCCATAACAAATAAAAGAAGAATTGCAAAAATAGAAAGAAATATGCTCTTTCTTAATTTAGTAATTTTTGATTTCCTGAAAATAGCTTTTTTCTGCAAATATCACTTTTTGGAATTAAACGTAAACTAAATTCCCTTGATATTCTAGCATCAAAAGTCAATTTGATTATTTATTACATGAAATGGGATGAAAATGCCCTTTCATACAATATTTTGCTTCAAATCAAATTCATTTGAAATCTTAGTTGGAATCTTTAGTCCAATATTTTGTTTTTATAATCCTGTTATCTATAACATTGAAACAAAAGAATATAACTGGATCTACAACATTGCAACTTATCAAATTCAAAGAACAGTGATATTTATCACACAGCTGTAAAAGATGGCCTTAGATTAAATTAAGACACCAAATCAATACAATAAACTAAATAGATTTCAAGTAAAATGACCTAAAATTTCCCCATATAAGATTTTTTATATCAACATTTATTATCAGAGTACAGACATAAGAATGCCCTTGTCAACTAGGTATCTCAAGGACTAGCCTGCCATTACCATACATGGATGAAAAACTTTTTCAAATTTTGTGGCATGCATTAATGATTAGCAGAGCTGTTGTGGGTACGTTGAAAGTCTTATAAGCCATGCCAAGCTTAACCAAGCCTATTAACAAAGCATCAAGCTTGATCAAATGATATGCATAAATCTGAAGCATTTCAACCTAGAGAAATAAATCACACTATGTTAATAATTAATTGAACTGTGGACCGGTGGGGCATAGTTGAAAAAAAAATTGGCAAAACAAGAATCGATGATGATCCATACATAAAAAGACCTCTGAAACTATGGCCATAGGTTGATTAAGTATAAATATGAGACATTTTAGGATCGAAGTTATTGCATCAGGACTCAAATAAACAAGTTATGCACACACGTCACATGCTTATCGGAATGGAATGTACAACTCAAACATGAAAAGGTACTTTAGTCCACACAGGAAATTGTTGCGTTATTAGTAGCCAATTGACAACCAATATACCGCTATCAATAATATCAAATAAAGAAGAAAAATAATTATTTGAGAAAGCATTGGACAAGGTTGAGTGATATTCAAACTTGAAAAGTCCATGAACTTGGATAAAAATAGTGATATGAAACGTATATTACAGCAATAACAAGTTCATGAATATTTAAATTTCTCATTGATCTTTAAATTTATCATTTAGCAATGAATTCAAATTCTGTGTCAATTTTCATGATTAACGCTAATGAATACTGTGCGAACAAAATATGAAAAAATATTTGTGTATCACATGATGTTCATAATATTAATAGGCCTATATAGTCTTTGCATTTTAAACAATGATTGTGTATCTCATAAAGGAAATCAAAGCCTATCTTGCCATAAATACAACACACATTGCAAAAGCTTTTGAGTAGGGGAGTAGACAAGGGGTTTTGGGGATCAACACCCTCCCCCATTATAACTTCAGAACCCCTCCTTCAATAATTTCATCTACGCTCCTGCCACTGAGCCTTAATAGCGAAATATTCAATTTCTAAATGCCTGGTGATGAAATTATCAAATGAAAACTAAATTCTAATTCAGGTATGTTGAATCCTTATATCACCAGGAATCCTCACTCATATATATATAGATATAAAGTGATGCAATATTTGCTTTTATTATTGTGGATAAACACTCTGCGCTATCATCAGATAAAATAGCATTTCACACAATCCAAGGATGCAATTAATGGATTAACTGACAACTCCAGACCATATCCATTCCCAAACAATGCAAATATATTTTATCAACCAAGTATGATACATAGTTATAAGGCATGCTCTAACAATGGTCCACTGCTTGGCAATACCTAAGAAGCAGGCCTAAAATTGTCAGTATACAAGAATAATCAGACTCAGACACAAAATCAATTTTCTTCCATATTAATCCTGAATACACAACACTTGAAGATAAAGCAATGTCAATAAGGATTAGCTATATAAGAGACGTTTCCATTTTGGAATAAGTCATTTGTACACATCATTATGAAATGAAGCATAATAAGATACATATAATCTAAATAGGAAATGGCTTGTAAGAGAGTTATAAAATAACTTATAATTCAAAATGAATATATTCGTGGAATATATAATGATTATTATTAATTAATTAATAATGATTTAATCCTTTTATTTATGATTAATTTGTAAATAACACTAAGAATCTTAATCACATTATATTAAATTTGACTGCTAATATTTCCTAAAGCCTATGGTTTGCTCTAAAAGTGGCTCTGGGCGTAAAAGAGAAACAAGACTGAATATCGAGTAATACCAAGTGCTATTGTAAAAAGCAATTATTCCGTTCTCAGAATAAACACATATTACAATTTACAATACCCAAAAAATCTTTACTTTCGGTTTGTATAATTCACATTAAAGTTTATTAAACTTTACTGTCTCATTTATTCTTTACACTCCTACGAGAAGGCAAATAAAGATTCACGAAAATAAACACCATCAATCTCGTAAGAAAGTATGCCTTTTACTGGAAGACAAAAGCCAAGGTTTCTAGACATTACACACACATTCCTCTTTTATTACTGTGATAAAATATTGATAGTAGCAGTGAGGAACCTATATATATAAATGAAACTAAAATTTTCCAGCTTTTGTTGAATGTCTTGTTGACATACTGGTTGATATACGAGTTACATTGTGAATCTGTGGAACTGGAAACTGCCAAAAAAATACAAAACTGTCAACCTTAAACTAAAAACTCACGGTAATTCAATATAGGGTGATTCAATTTATTTCCAAATATTCCATGTCCACATAATTTATAAATTATGAAAAACCGAGAATGACCCGCTGATGAGCTGAACTGTATTTGTGTGCGAAGTATGATAAATTTTGTGAAAAAAATATTGCTGGAAATGGCTGACATTTATGGCTGATGTATTATTTATTTAGTCATCGTGCAATAATGTATCCATGAAGAAACTAACATGTCAAAAATTACCTGGCAATTTTATACGAAATACCATCTCAGCATTTGACAATATTTTTGTGAGAAAGTCTTCCAGTGAAAGCTGCAGGTTGCATATACAAACATTTACAGTTCCACAGCAATGCGCCATCATATAAATTGCTTTCCTTTGAAACATTGTACAAAACACATTATATACCGTACATCAGATTTTTGTTTACGAGCTTTTTCATCGAATCGAAGTACAAAATCCAACACAACATGCTTTTTTTAAGTTACTTGTTTGTCTACCTTTATATAGGTGTTCAATACAGTTTAGCACTCTATAAATCAGCAATTACGGTACACATGAAAACGCCATAAAATTACCTATAACAATCACTAAATTCCACGAGACACAGGAATATCTTTATCCAAAAAAAACTGCCTAAATATATAAAAAAAAAGGAAAACATTCATTTATTCAAATTTAATATCTCAAAAAGTTTAATTCACAATTTTTCATAATAATATTCTTACTGAGTTTCTCCCTATTAAAACAAGTCAGTCCATACAGTTACTTTTTAGCAGCCTCGTAGGAAAATCTACAAGTTAATGAGAGCCTTGAGGGCATTGGCTATGACCTTACGCCACTTATAGCTACTTAGGTTAAATATATCTCAGCGTAACACGAAATTATCCTTGAGCAAGAACAGATCAGCGGCATATTTGTTTACGGTATATTTTATTAT